CTCGACCTAATCAAACCAACAACTTACACACTAAATAACTTATATTAGAATTTATTTTTAACATAATCAACAACACAGATTATTATAATAAACAATATTTAAGAATGAGAAAGTCAGTAAACTTACCTTAGGGTGACAAAAGGGCCAGAAAACGATTCCTAAACACAGGTTTGTGTCCCGTGTCACATCCGGATTTATAAATAGGTCATAGTTTGGTGACAGCATAACCCTAGGCGGTGTGGTGTGTGTGTGTTAAGTACTGCACTGGCAGCTGTGTCTTACCTGTTGCTTTCATTGGCCACGCGTCCACTCCCGCGCTTTGAGGTAAATGTGTGTCGACTGGATGCGGTGTGGGAGCGGGGAACAATTTCAGTTAACGCGAAGTCTAGGAGTTGAATTTGTGTAAAAAAAAAAAAAAACAGCGAGGATGTGCAGTTGGTCACTCAACGTCGATTGAGTTAATAAACTGTCGTATGGTGTATGTATGGTGGGGAAACTCTCTGTCTCTCTCTATATATATATATACACACACTATCTCTCTCTGCTATTCAAATCTCTGAATTTTCATATTCTCATGTGAATGTAGACATACGTATTCCCTTCTTTGTCTTTTTCTGCTGCTTAAGTAATGTATTATTTATTTAATTTGAGCAAGGCCTTTAACGAACGCACATAAACCATTCATATTCTGTGACGTTTTTCGCAACTCCCTCCTTACCTCCACGTCGTGTATCTCCAAGGTTCTCTCCTAATACGTTGTGGACAATAGGTGAAACGTTCGAGGCATCGAGAGAAACTGGATGAACAAGAGGATAAAGACGGGCGTGTAGCGATTAACTTTCGGTCCCAAATCAATGCCCTGTGTGTCAGGATACGATTCCGCTCGTGGGTATCAAGAACGGTGTGATGTATTATAATAAGTGTTACCCTTTGTCTGGACATATTCAAGAAATTCGGCCAAACGTTTTAACTCCACATTTAGTAAACGTTAGCAGATATTCTAAGACACATGATTGGCCAGTGAGAGAGAGAGAGAGAGAGAGAGAGAGAGAGAGAGAGAGAGAGAGAGAGAGAGAGAGAGAGAGAGAGAGAGAGAGAGAGAGAGAGAGAGAGAGAGAGTGATTTCTATCACCTAGCATTTTTGTGTTCTCTTGTTTGTATGTGTAGTATTTTAGAGTTTGTAATGGGCTGATAAAGGCGCTCTAGGTATCGAAAAGCGAATCATTGGCTTGCTCAAATCGAATAGTTTGGGCAGAATGACACAGATATCGCAGAGGTCAATTTTTGAAGGGGAAAAAATCTATCTCTGTGTGGATTTGAACTCTGTTGGCCAGTGAGCGACTAGCCGCTAAGCTACGCGACTGTCTATGCTTTGTTGTCGGTGTAGTTATTCCCCCCCCCCCCCCCCAAACATTCAAAGGCTGGTAGAGCCAGAAGGTAGCCGACTCATTGCTCATCTACCCGAGATTGTGACATACCACCATTATCATTTCTTCTTCTTCTCTGCGTCCTTGCTCCCCTCTAGTGGAAAGTTCTGGTTTATCTTCACATTCTGGTCTTGTTCCGGAACTTGAGTTTTGCGCGCACAGCCGTTTTACAGATCTGGTCTATGTGTACGCAGGCTGCTGGGTTCTCGCCTCGAAGGCAGACGCAAATGACGAGCAATAAACACCTGGTGACACAAAGTGTCACCGTTCGGGTTAAAATCACCCGGGCAAAGTCCCAGAAACCCCGTAGGTTATATTTAGGGCCCCCCGAACAGAGCCAGTGTGTGGCTCTAAAATAACAAAAAATTGCGTCCCACACGGGGAAAGAGTTAATCATTCTACTTTCACACTCTCTCTCCCTCTCTTGTTGTACCCTACCAGGACATCACACAAGCGAGAAACACCCGGTGACACAAAGTGCCACCATGCGGATGAGGAACACCCGTGGAGAAGATCCAGAAACCCCTTTCAGCCGTTGTGGCCACATTTATGGCCCGGCTATATTCAGGGCCCCCGGCAAAAAAAAAAAAAAGGCCAGGGTGGGGCTTCGGATAACAATAAATTTCATCCCACATGGGGACGACTGTGACTTCAGTCAAGGTTAAAAAATGGTATATACACATCTGGATAATCGTCGGGGATACAGAGTTCGTGTATTATACTCAGATTATCCTTATGGCTAACCTTGAGCTCTTATTTTTCATCAACCGTGTAATATAGTGACCCCGTGTTTATCAACAAATTATCACTGCCCCCCTGATTTCTGTGCAATTGTAATAATGTTTGTTTATCGGTACTTTGTTTTCGGGCTTATGGCTTATTCAACGGATCAACATCATAGTAAACTAGTACAACCCTTAAGTACTCCGTTCTACTTCTAACTCAAGCCGGAGTCTAATAAAAATTCTCAGCGCAGTGCACAAACTCCATAGCATCGGTCATGCATGACTGCGTTTTGGTTACCTGGTCGTGTGGTTTTGAGGAAAATGTTGCTTTGCATAGTGTAACGTTGCAGGGCAATTTGCTTGGATTTGACATTGAACAAGCAATTGGAAAACTAACGTGGCCTTAGTCAAGTGGATTTACAAAATAATACCTCATATTATCAAAACAAAAACATACAAATGGGTACTTTTCAGCTTTGTCACACCTTCTTGCCAGCTGCAAAATTTGGAAGGGAATTCCTAGGGGGTTCCCAGGAAGGTCCACTAGTAAAACGGATAGGGGGGTTAGTTTCCTCTTCTTCTTCTTTCATTCACTTAAATAAATCATCTATATCTGCAATGTCGTTTATAGTATGATCTTCATTGTATTTTGTAATCTACTTAGGGACCTATAAAGTTCGGGTTGAACCAGTGTTTCTCTTGGCCAGATCTTAGTGCGGTGCAAATCGGAGATATATGCTCGGAGAAGCTGACGAACACTTTAAATCCTAATTATAAAATTTTAACCCTGTGGGTTGAACAGGATCTTTATGTGAACATTACTACTGCTACAAGTGCCCCAGTTATAACTTCTTTATAGGCTGAATGCTGGTATCTTGGGTTGACACTGTTGGTTTGCCATTCAGAAAGAGATTTTTCCATGCTGGCTTAACTACACTATCAGGTAGCAAGCAGCCCAAAGAGAAAAAAGAAGGAAGGAGAGAGAAATACATTGCTCCTCACCCATTTTCGACTGTGGAGGATATTAGACTAATGCTGGTGCCATAATTATAACTTCACACAAAATTAAATAGGCCATCTGGGATTATCCTGTTGGACTGACAGACTCTATGTGACTCTTTGAGTCACCTTCATGTACCAGCCCAGAGAAGGAAAGCGGTCAGTCAATGGAAGAAAAGGAAAACAGTCAGTCAATGGAAGAGAAGGAAAACAGTCAGTCAATGGAAGAGAAGTAAAACAGTCAGTCAATGGAAGAGAAGGAAAACAGTCAGTCAATAGAAGAGAAGGAAAAGTCAGTCAGTCAATGGAAGAGAAGGAAAGCAGTCAGTCAATGGAAGAGAAGGAAAGCAGTCAGTCAATGGAAGAAACAGACGGATATTAGGAAAATATTATTATACAAGATTATAAAAGCTGTAATCATTCATGATATCAAGGAGAACTGGCTTTTAAACAGCATTCTCTCTCTGAAAACTGGGGTATTTGAGACATGTCAAGCGCCTTGGTAATCTGAAAAGAACGGTGATGGATGATGCAGTTTCTGGAAAAAAGAGGCAGTGGCCGACCTCCAGAAAGGTGGATACAGACAATGAAGATGCATTGACTTTGAAAGCACATAGGGCTGGAGAACTGGCTAGAGAGACAGAGACTTTCAGGCTTGCCATGAGGAGAACAGCACTCTGTACAGGACTTGCTGATTGATTGTAATCATCCTGATCACTTTCAGATGGCAGTCATTCATGTCTGATTATAAAATGCTGTCCTAAATGTTGAGAATAAGCTGTGTTGATAATATTCCCTCACACCACCATTTAAGATCATCCAGATCCATGTTTCTCTTGTTAACATTCTTCACAGCTGATCTTTCTGGTTATTAAAATGTTCAGTATTACCACAACACATGGCTGTCTCATTATTATGGTTGTGTACAATATTCTACTTTCACTGGCTGTCTCCAAGCTACTAAGTCAACGAGTACAACAGGAAACAACTGAAGCCAGTCAATGAAAAAAACGCTAAACGCATTTGGAGCTCCAGGAGTTTACAACAAAAGACAAGTTTATGGGGCATATTAATTGATTTTCAGCAGCAATAAAATTCTTCCTCTTCTTTCGTTCGCTTGAAACAGATTATCTATATCTGCAATATTGTCTCTAGTATGAACTTCACTGTCTTTTGTAATTCACTCAGCGACACGTAAAGTTTGATTTGGCCAAAGGTTTTGCCTTGATATGTTGTATTTGGGAGAGTCTTGGAGGATGTAATCTGTTGTCTCAGGTGCTAATCCACATGGCTGATTCGCAGATCATTAAAAGTCAATGGCTAAGCACCATCAGGTTCTTCTTCTTCACATTCTCCGGCCATAGACTTTGGCAGAAAGTTCTGGTTGTTCATCTACTTCTGGACTTTATGTCTTATTCTGGAACTTGAATTGTGTGTTAACATCTGTTTAAAAAATCTGCTTATTTCTATGTAGACTGTTAGTTCCTCGCCTCTCAGGCAGATTCACTCCGACTTTAAAGGAAAGATCATTAAACAGTTTACTCTTACGACATGCTTGTTAGGCAGGGGTCTATTATATTTGTTTCCCACCAGGAATGCTAGAAAGTTAATCAAAGTAAAAGATTTTACAGCACGTATCTTTCCTGCAGTAACATATGAATGTAGGTCGTGGATTACCTCCTTATAATTAAAGAAGATACTAGAGACTTCTGAGCCGAAATGCTATAGAAAATAGAGTAAAGAAAAACTTTCAGTCAGCAAACACTGTCAGCATTATGCGTTTAGACTGATTAACACTTGGAGTGATACCATCATTATCCAGGTCACTGTCCCAAGTCAGGATATAATGTTATAAAGTGTCATGTGACTTTGTCAGAAATTCCTTGAGAGCAGCCACAGCTTTATATCTATGAGATATCTTATTCTTGGTCTCACTCGGCATCTCGGCGTATGTCTGCGTGAATCCATCAGGCTGAAACACTGGGTCCCAGCCAAAACTAGTAGGACCTCTTGGTTCTACGATTTGACCAGGGCAGCGTCCATCAAATATATGCACTTTTGCTCCATTTTCTCCAGAGCTGTATGCAAAAATGCACTGTGCATATGCTGTCTTGTCTTCAAATCCATGAAGTAATTTGTGAAGACCTGGGCAAAATACAAGAATGAATTTTTAGATGTGCAATGCAATAAAGCATATTAGCTAAACATTAATAAACAAACAGAAAGCTGAGAGAATTTACATAATTTTTATACTTACATAAGTTTTATCCTGATTGGCTGTCTCTCTGAGTTCAGTGACTTGCTGCTTGTAGAAACACCACAATCAATCAGCAGGTACTATACAGTACCTTGTTCTCTTCACGGCACACCTTAAAGTCTATCTTCCTGTAGCCAATTCTCCAGCTTTGTATGCTTTCCCAGCCAATACATTTTTGATGTCCTGTATCCACATTCACGGTGGTAGGCCTCTCCATGGCTTTCCAGAAACTGCACCATCCATCTCCATTTAGTCCAGAATTGGGCGCTTGACTTGTCCAAAATACCTCAGTTTTCAGGAGATGATGCTGTTAACCAGCCAGTTTTCCTTCATGTTTAGCTCATGCACGATGGCAATGTTTTTCTTATTCTTGGTCCACAGTATTGTAGGAATTCTTTTTGAAGCATTTCAGTTCAAAAGCTCAAATTTTCTTCTTCAAAGACTGAGTGAGAGTCCAAGACTCACATCCATAAGTTGTCATGGAAAAAACACATGATCTCCAAACTTTAACTTGCTTGCAGGTGCTATGCCATTAATTCTTCATCTACAATTGCAACAAATACATCTCCATATCCAAATGTGTTAACCATAATACAATTTGCTGTGTAGTTAAGATACACCGTGGGGTCTAATGGTGACTAAAGTGGAATACAAACTGTTGCCGACTGGGGACATGTTTACAATTGAACAAGGCAGACAGATTGGCTGGATCTGCACCACTGGGTGGTGAGTTGATACGTGACACGGCAGATGTGGTCAAGGCCTTTGGGGAACAAGTAATGAAGTCAGAAGAGAAAACAGATTATCATGGCCTGAAGAGAATGATACACCTGGGTGTGACCAGAGGGCCTGGCCGGCACACTACACTCAGAGGAATGGCAAGATGTACCTATAATCAGATGGCGTCCAGTACCATTAGTATTGGAACTCTGCGCTGGCTGCTGAAGATCGGGACTGAGCGCATATGTGAATACCCCGAGAGCTGTGATGTCTTTTTTGACTCAGTTCAACTCAGTTGCACATAAATGACAACATATAAATTTATTTCCCTTTCAATGTATTATGAGAACATGCCTATTAAGAAAAAAAAAACAGAATTGGAAATTCAGATTTTTACTGTAAAATCTAAAAGTTCACTCCACCTATTTCGAAAAGATCAAAGGAATCTATGAACTGAAAAATACGATTATTTTTGCGTCATGGATATTCTAGGGCTGCATGCAAAAAATTGCTGTGGTCTAACAGACAGTTGTCGAGAAAATGGCTTGCAAGTATGTTCATGAGATGTTGAACGAACTCTACCTAAAACTATGAAAAGACACCTGGCCTCAAGAGCAAAGTGTGCAGAGCAAGCTTGGAGGAACCATGAAGGACCTGCTACTGACATGCGAGTTCATAGAGGCATCCCACCTGATGGTCTGATCTGAGCATACGAAACCAAATGCAAAGAAGAAGAAGAAGAAGAAGATTAGCCTTGGTAGATACAGGTATACTTCTATGTGTCAAAAGTGGTATTAGATGTCCCAGTATTGACAGGCAAAAGAATAAGGTGTGATTGACCACAACAGCCAATGAGCGCTGATCATTCCTCTTCAGTATTCCAAGCCCTTAAGATCAATTCCTGCAGATATCACCTACACCTCAACTCATCTCTATGACTGACCTTCATTTTAAAGTTGATGACTCAAAGTGTTAGTAGGTCTGCATGTAAATTATCTCCCCATCGTCTTCTTGCTCTGTCTCGTGGTCTATTCTCATTCAACTCATTGAGTGCTGATTGGTCTATAAAAATGTAGTCTTTAGGAAGATGGGGATGCATATGAATTTTATGTATTATTATACATTCATTATGTATAGAATATATCTCCAAGCACGGACACATTGTTTTTAATTACTAGGTATTAATTAGCAACAACTCATCACAGGTTTGTCGATTAATTGCCTATCATTACCTGCTGGCCCTATCTTTGTCAAGAACCATTTCACATAAGGTCCAGGCATGCCACCGAGTGCGTTGAAACACAAACTGACATCTTCCACGATGACCGGACCTTTGACGTGCTGTGCCGCCAGCTCGCACTTTGCCCTGGCAATCTCTTCTGGCTCACCTTGATACTCGGGAAGGTCAATGTCCTGATTTTCAACCTAGTTAGAAAAAATTTTTTTTTTTAAAATCAATTATTACAACTTTAGATTTGTACCACTGTTGGTAATAAGGTAAAGCAGAGACCCCCCCCCCCCCCCCCCCCCCCGTTCTCCTTGGGCGTGTGGGGATTTTACGCTAGACTCATACCGTTTATAGTCCAATTGATATTTGAAGTATTAAACTACATCATAAGACAACAGATCAAATGGTTTGGAAATGTGTCATCGACCAGACAGCGCATCACATAGATCCCTGTCACTTAGACATAATGGAAGCAGTACTAGAGGTCAACCAGACTAGCTATGGATCGATGTAATATACGAGGCCATAAATATCAGCATCTAAATAGCACATACTGTTGGGAGCCAGAGACCTAACCCCATCACAGAAAGATCACTAATACAATACAGCTAGCAATGATCCGCGGGTCACTTGCTAGGCTACCATGGGCCAGATTTGGTTCGGGCCCACCAGCTGTATTGCCCTGATGTAACCACTGCACCACCATGGATCCCATGAGGTAAGGTAAGAAAGAAAATGAGTAACCCACTTCCATGCGCTGAGATGAACTGGGTTAACCCTGTACCTCCATATTGCTTTGATCAATTAGCACTCAATATTGTATGGTTAGTATCAGAGAAGCCACCTTTCTTCCTAGTTCCCATTTTTGACTGGGTCAAACTGAAAGTCCAGGAACAATTTAAAATGAGCATTAACTCTTCAAGTGCCAAACAATGTACCATGTGTGACTGGATAATGTATGAACTCCAAGCAACATGTTATGTGTGTTTGTACATCTTACGATTGGTCAGTGAATATTAAAGGACTCCAATAAAATGTATATCTCTTACAAAGTATCTGTATTTGGTCCCTGTAAACAAATAACACATGATTTTATTGTTTTCATGATTGCCTAACTCAGGCATCAGCAATGACCTTCTAGAACCCAAAGAGTTAATGGGTATTTGAACCTTTAGTCATCTGATTGACAGGCAAGCTTATAGACACGAAGATTCGCTAGAAATGATAGCGGCGGAATAAAACATGCTGGCTCAAGCAATCTTTGTCATGTGTTTCAGCCATGATTTTATTCTCTTGTTGGCCCAAGAATTTAACATGCATCATGTTACGTATGAGGGGGGCACTTAACTCTTTCACCCTGAGAAGCTGGTAAACCGACACTTCAAGTTGGGTCAATTTCCCTGTAAGTGTCACTTTTCCGACCTGTTTATGAGATACCTAGTTAATGCTACTGGCTGTTTTTGCGAATGAGCAAACATTTAGGAGGTCATAATATGACAGCATTAAACTAAACATGGCATTTAAGGAAGTTTTTTTTTAATCAAATAGCTTTAATAAAGCCAAGCTGATGTCAAACTTTCCCACACCCTCAGTGATGGGGGTAATGAGATCATATCTTGAGTCACCTGGTACACAAGTTTTCAGTCCCAGGGGAATGTACTCTATTTAATGCTTCACTTGTTCATGGTTACTGATTACTTTCTCCTTATATCTTTATATATTTTGTAGAAAAAATGCAGATGAATGAGTTTTTAACGAATTTATTAGTGACCTCTGTAAAAGTGTTGTTATTTTAGGATTTCTTAATGGAACTCCAACTGGGTCAAGACTGATTTGTTTTAGCATTACTGCAGCAAAAGGGTTAGCACATAGGTGACTTTCGGTTCATTTAGCAAATTAACATATATAAATAGTTTCTACGCAGGAAAAGTACTTCAATGGCAAACTCTCCGAGTGTGAAATATTAGGCTTCTCATATTTTAGGTCACAGAATAAAATGAATGAAGGTAAAACATCAGAAAACTTGTGTGAATGAAACTACACACGCACAGAGTAAACATAATATTTTAATTAGTCATTTTCTTTCAACAGAAAGAAAGTAAAAATATGTGACTGAAAAAAGAAAAATCCTACCAGTAAACAAATCCTACATAGAATGAAAAAGTAAATGAAAAGGCAGGATCTTCAATCAACAGATTTTAATCAAAAGTTAAATATCTGGAATATGAGACAGGAATGTGAAAAGTAGACGGATAGATGAATGGAAACATAATTAAATGGATGGAAGAGAATTTGGATAAAACTGTTACCTTATAAGGAAAGTCAGCCCCAAGGATCTGCACAAACTCTTTCAGTTTGTTCTTGTTGCCGGTAACAAGGATTATGGGACGGGCCATCATGACTCCACTGATTCGCGTCCACAACAGAGTGGCAGCTTATTATATTTAAAAGGCGGCTGGTGATACAATACGTTCTTCAAATCTACCAGTACTACTCAGAGCTGTAAAATTAAAACTAGTTGTATGTTATTGCTTTTACATGCACACAAAATTGGGACAGTACAATCATAATCACATGTGCATCTACAATACATATCATCAGCATCATCATTATAAGTGGCCAGCCAACAGGTGTGGGCGATCATGTCTCTCCACAATCTGTGATCTTAAATATCAGTTTATATGCAGACACCCCTCCATGCCATGACAAACGGACGTCAAGAATTGTCTCACACTGTCCTCCCACAGATCTTTTCAGTGGTCACAACATGTTGCCATTCTCTTATTGAAATACAGACATTAAACTATATTATCAATTGATAATATTAAATGAGGAGTGGCTGGCTGAGCTGTTGAGAAAACTGAGATTTTGTTGCGGAGACAGGTTCAAATGCCAGATAATGGATACCCTGGGTGCTAAAACTACACTACACCTCATTATTAAAAAAATATGCTAAACAATAATACACTTTATAGAGGCAGGAAACATTTAATTTTCATACTTACTTACTTTATTACTTATTTGTTACTATTTTATTGTGCAGCCTCGTTGCTTAGAAGCTAGAGAAGGCAGATAACGATTTTATGATAGTCAGTACTGCGATGCACGGGGACAATCAGTTTTCATACAGTAGCATGAGAGTTACACTGTGGAAGAGATTGGGACCTTATCACGTAATATTCCCTAAGACAACAGTGGTACACTACACTGAACTAGGCAATCAGTTTACTATAAGGTACCTATGCAATAGATACATCACACAGTCCCACTGTGGAGTTCCTGGAAATGAAAGGGCTAAAAAATTAGCTAAGGAAGGTGCAACTGATGAAGAACCTGACATACCAGTCTCTTATATTATATACAGGAGAAGAAAAAGAATTATTAAATCAATCAGAAAGCCACAAAAACTGGCACAAGGCTATCCATAAAATGGACAGACCAGAGCAAGTCATTATCATATGCCTTAGAACAGGGCACAATCGACTTTGCTGCTAAATGTATACAAATTTAAGACTAGTGAATCAGCCGTGTGTACCATCTGTGGACTGGCTCCTGAGACAACAGATCACATTCTCTAAGTTGATCCAAAATAGTATTTCCAGGCAAAAGGTCTAGCCAAGAGAGACACTGGTGAAAGCCAATTTTACGGGCCACTAAGTGAATTACACAAGACAGTGAAATTCACACTAGAGTCAGCATTGCAGATAATTTATTTCAAGCGAACGAAAGAAGAAGAGGTGGTACACTGTACCCAACCTTCGATGTGGAGAAGACACAGCATAGACATAGAACTTTGTTGTGTGTATGTCTCAGGTCTGTATTGCAAAACTGCTAAGATAGTGATACTTTGCTGTTGCAAAAAACAATAACATGAATTCAGATGTGCATTGTACAAACGAAAACACAAACCTGGATATGTATCTACTCGTCTGGTCTTGCATCTCGGTCTGTGCAAGTTCTGCAAAGATTTGGCATGCCGTTCTCAACTTCTCAGGCCTCATACGTTAACATTCTTTCGTTAGATATAATCCAACTTTTACATTAACCTTTATCTGTATCTACAGAAATGTGCCTATAGATTTTATTCAATAGCTTCAGGGCGTCTTATTTTCAATTTTAATCTTTTGAAATATTAGAAATTATCGACAGTTTTATTTTGATTTGACAAGTTCGTTCTATAGTAAAATTAATCGATTTTCTACAGGCATTTAATTCTGTTTAATTTCTTTTTGTAAGCAGCTCCTTTCACCCACCAAGTCAAATTTTTAAAGATTAGTTTACATTTCTATCCATCCATCCATCCATCCATCCATCCATCCATCCATCCATCCATCCATCCATCCATCCATCCATCCATCCATCCATCCATCCATCCATCGGTCTGTCTGTCTGTCTGCCTGTCTGTCGGTCGGTCGGTCGGTCGGTCGGTCGGTCGGTCGGTCGGTCGGTCGGTCGGTCGGTCGGTCGGTCGGTCGGTCGGTCGGTCGGTCGGTCGGTCGGTCGGTCGGTCGGTCGGTCGGTCGGTCGGTCGGTCGGTCGGTCGGTCGGTCGGTCGGTCGGTCGGTCGGTCGGTCTGTCTGTCTGTCTGTCTGTCTGTCTGTCTGTCTGTCTGTCTGTCTGTCTATCTATCTATCTATCTATTTATCTATCTATCTATTTATCTTTCTCTCTATCTTTCTCTCTATCTTTCTTTCTGTCTGTCCATCCATCCATATATCTACCCAACAACCCGTCCGTCCGGTCAGTCGCCCATCTATCCGATTGCATGAGTTACACAAGAGACACCATGAGGCTGTCAGCGCTGAATAACTGGGAGACAGTGAGTGAATGTTGCAGTTTTGACTTACTGAAGAATGCAAGAAAAGCTGTTGACTTTGCAATAATCAGGAAATGCATTATTAAGTTGCTTGGTACCCAAATAGTGATCCGTTTGATATAAGTGGAATGAGAACATAGATTTGATGCATTGTGACGGTTATGTGATATAGCGAATTATGACAATACATGACGGAGCTTGTTAGTCAACAGATCGTCTTCATTTCACACCGAACTATTTAGTTCGTAAGTTCTAGGATTCCCTTTTTAGTATGCAGCTCAGCGTATAGCAGTCTACAACACAAGTTTTGTGTGGGTTTAATTTGTTTTAACATATTCATCTTTGGCTTCATCTTGCATATTACTCTTAACGCATCAACGGACACTTGTAGACACTGCAGTTCATTTTGTTTTCTAGAACGCCTAGCTGTTTGTCTACAGTGTTTCACAAAGTACGAACGCTGTAGCTCCAGCGACGGTCTTGCCCTCACCAGTGGTATCAATATTTCGGCATTCGTTTTTTCGGAAGGAAGGAATTTGCATTGGAAAATGTCACTTCCTGTTTACCAGACGGTGGACATGGTGCTATGTGGCGAGAATCTTTCGGCGAAGTAGTCTTCGCTTCCTTTGAATTTCTTCGTTCTTGGTTGAAGATTTCCAGAAAAGACAATGTCGAGACACAGAATCGTTCGTACTATGAACTACGAGGATGGTATGTGGACTAATTATAATATGACTGGCGAAAGACCAGAGTAACAGGGGTGACATGAATCTATACTATTACTATACCATACCTATACCTACCTACTTAACTTTCACAATTCTTTCGTCAGCAATAAATTTAAACTAAAAAAAATTTTTTTTGCGAGCGTTTGAATTCGGTAATGCAGTGAAAGTGGATCTTAAATCTTATGTGTACCTGCGTAATAAATAGTTAAAGAGAATTTAGGGAATTAAAGTGCTGCGTAAAAACTCAATTCCTTTTAATTTTAAGAAAAAAATCAAAAACTCGTCCAATTGTAACCTGCTGCTTTCTAGCCGAAGCTACCGTCTCCGGTTATATTTGTGGTCTTGTTTATTTGCGCCACTTTCGTGGCCAAAGTTCTGGTATTTTTGCTGTCTCTGGACTTTTAATGTTTTTTCCCTCCAAGCCAGCCTGCTCATTCCCTATCCTGTTGTCAACTATGTTCTTCTTGCTGCGTAAACAACAATCATTGATGAAGATGAATGAATTAATAAAACGCAGACCTCCATTCAATTCATCTGCAGACTCTTACTCCAACTCCGCATAGTAATCATTACTGTAAAGAACTAAATATTATGTATTATAGTATATCTAGGAAAATAAGTTTCAACTAGAAATGCGAAGACAGATTTTGATTGTATTTATTTATTTTTATATATTATGAATTAACCTTTCAGGCAATACTAATAATGCTTACAAGATCCTTATAAAAAAATTATTTAAACATAAATGTCATGTCAGGAAGTTTATAATAATAATACTAAAGTAGTGTTGCAAAAAATTAGTTGACAGTGAAATCAATCTTACTTTCTCTCATCCTGGTTACCCTGTTCTCAACTCAAGCAAGCTCTTGCAGTTTCTTAACTTCTTCTGGCTATCCCCCGAATAATGTTCACACATTATTGAGGCCAAAAATATACCTTTACAGGGCCTCAGTCACATGTAGATTGTGGATTTTCGGTGACTCAAATTGCGGACTTCCGGCGACTGCCGCCACTGCCGAGAGTATCTCCCATGCCTTTATGGGCGGCATGGATTGGGGCTAAACTAGATGACTGGGACTCACGAGCAGCAGCTACCACATCTCCTGAAGCTTCCTTCATTTTATTTGCTTGTGAGTCCCAGCTATCTAGTTTAGCCCTGCTTCATGCAGCGCGTAGTGGAGCGGGAGATACTCTCGGCGGTGGCGGTAGAAATGATGCATAATTTATGCTATAATGACTAAGTCTTGATTTTTAAAAAAGTGCCTTTTTCCACTTTTTCAGCATTCCGAGCCCTTGAGGCTAATTGCTGCAGATATCACCCGCCTCCATTCATCTTTCTGGTTGGCCTTCTCTTTCCATTTTGTAACACCAAGTGTTTGCAGGTCTGTCTGGACATTATATCTCTCCATCTTCTTGGTGTCCTTTTCCAACCCCCCCCCCCCCCCCCCCCTTCTTCCCCCCAAAAATTATATTTTTGTGTGGTAAATATATTCATACCCACTACATCTCCACTCTGTGCATTTGCAACCAATATAAAAGCTGTTGTATTGTTTGGTTGTCACAGCCCAAAGACTTCCTGTCTTGAAAAATCAAAATCAGTGAATGCTGGGGAAAAAAACAGCATCCTTGGGGCGACAGTGTAGGATTAAAGGTAAAGTCGGGAGATGTGATGAGCCAGCGTCATTGCACACGGTTATAAACCATAAGTGCTCTGCCACCAGTACAGACAGCTGATAAGAAACTGTCCGCCTGTGTTGCTGTTCGCACGTAACTCCTTAGCTACAGCGACGTTCCTCCATTTACCCCAGAGTGTCAACTCTGGTACCCTTATCCTAGAGGCTGGGTGAACCCCGGGAACCGCCCGGTTTCGAACACCGACCGTGGACTGCAGCGAGTCGCAGCTGGATTTGAAAGCGAGCCTTGTATCGACTTTGCTAACGCGGCCCCAGTGTAGGGTTCATGAGGTGGGGTGTATCTTCTGTTTTTTTTGCACACACTGGGTAGTCTTTCCTTGCAATTTATCCCAAATAGAAGATAAACCCTGAAGGACTCATAACAATTCATCACATCATTTGTAATCTCTTGTTGCTTTCTCAATGTCTTCTTCATATTATTTGTCTCTGCCTGTAATTCTCTTCTCCGTTAATTTCTGTCTCCTTTTACCTTTACATTTGTGTGGTTGCAGAGAATCATAATTTCACTAACTAAACTATTATCAGATTTGTTTTGGCGTGTGTTCTGTCTAACTGCAGCATCTTTTTTCACCTCTTGCTTCACTTGAATGTTTGTTTCTTTCTCTGAGCTATCCCACTTAAGTCATATGATTAGTTTAAAAAAAAAAAAAAAAAAACTTTTTTTTCTGCTGGGGATTAAACCCTAGCGAGGTGGATTGGTAAGTTGAAGAATCACTGCTAGTACAGCTCTACTTATTTTTATCTAACTTAAGCATGTATAACTATGTCAGGTACTATTTTGTTTTTATTACAACAGAGTATTATGATGATGATGAAGAGTATTCTCATTCCGTGGATGACAGTTATTGCATCTCGCCATCAACTGGTAAGTCGAAACTCTTAAATGAACATTTCACATCTAAAGTAAATCTGTAGGTCTTGGATAACTAGCATCTTTGGTTATTTTCTCCAGATCATGCTGATGTGTTGGAAAATTAACAGCCAGATAGATTGGCTGGTGCTGCACCACCTAGTGGTAATTTGATGCATGACAAGCTTGATATTATGTCTTCTTTGGGAGTAAGTGAACGGTGCGGCGGCACAACGCTCATCACGGTCTGAGGATAATGATGATGCAAGGAGTGACCAGGGGATCAGCACTCAAGGGAAAGGGCAGCCAGGTATACACTGAGACTGGTACAGGTGCCATCAAATTAGAAAACTGCTGCGCTTGCTGCTGAAGATGGGGGTGGAGTGCTTATGCTGAGGTCCCCAATGCTGTGATGTCAATTCTTAAATCAACATTCAGTAAATCTATAAAACTATTACTATGGCAGGTTTTGTTTTAGACACGGTGGTGCAGCAGCTAACTTGCTTGTCTGTTGACCTGGTGATCATATATTTGGATCCCCATCAGCACAGATTTCAAAAAGTAACCTAAATGTTTTGGTTCTTCTTTTGGGCTCATCTGGTGGAAATTGCTGGCTGTTTGGCGATGTCTGGACTTTGGTCTCCTTCCAGAACTTGAGTTTTATGTGCACATGTTTTACATATCTGAGATATTTATGTGCAAATTGTTGATTCTTCATAACTCGCGACTTGGAGGAAAAACTGATCATATCTACACTGGCCAGAGGAATTACGGCAGACACAAATGTATGGAGATTTAGACAGATATATATAAGATAGGGATAATGTCCAATGAGTTGCACATAATAGCAACGAGTAGGAGGATATGGCACAAATTGATTGCGGGTCTATGTTCTGTTTGGGTATACAAGGTAGATTAAGAATGTATTTGCTTTTGCAGATTAAGATTAGAAAATAACAGTTTTACTTTCATTTGTAACATTATAAAGAGTTTTCAGAATAATAGTATTTGTATTATATACAAAATAGAATCCATAATCTCCTTGCAGCTGCACAGTTCACATGGAGCCGGGAGAAGAATGTCAACTTTGCTGCATACATAGGAGAAGGGGAGGTGATCAATGAGGAGGAGGAAGAAGCAGAGGAAAAAGGCTCCACACAACGACATGATAGTGATTCAGCAGATAACACAAGACTGCAGCTTTCAGACCTGGAACTAGGTGTGCAGTTTTGTGTGTGTTTTGTTGTTGTTGAAAAGTCTTGTTTCAACGTACCCCTTTTTTCCTGGCTACCTAGAGGAAACAAAACTAATGACCTGTATTTGGGGAATTTCCGGAAAGAAAAAAGGAGAAAAAAAAACCCACCCATTTTACACAGGTCATAAGAAAAATTCTAGTAATTCATTTATAGACCAAAACCATGTTAATTTCTGTACAGAATAAGACAGGTGATTGGTAAATGTGAAGGCAGCAGGGAATTAACCTACTGACCTCTCTTTGACTATTCAACCTTTTTATATGGAGACTTATTGATCTCCTCACTGATTTCCTGGGGAATCATAATGACTGATGGGAAAAACTTTTCCATTCAGCAAGCCGTTTGTTCACAGGGAAGCTATATTTCATTGGTTAAAACAAACAGGACACAATATTTGACAGTCATTGATTCAACAAACACATTCTTTTTGCCAGTCTGGTTATTTGCCTTTCTACGCTGTACACTGTTTGTACTAACAGTTGTCTCGGGTTGACTTTGAGATATTCATATCTCAGTGCAGTTATTAACAACGCTGCACTCTACTTAAAAAATAAGTTGTCTAAGAAACACACTTCAACCATCACAGGTGTCACATCGCAGTTGCTCATAGTCACAAACTAGTATATATAGCTAAGTTCACATTGCTGAGATCAGTCACTTTGATCACGCAATCATTCGCTGAACTCTTGTCATGTGTAGAGATTCACCACTCGGGTCCCATTCAAGTACTGCATTTCTCTCTAGTTGACATATTTTCTCAATATTTTTACCTTCTTGCCTTATTCTCATGTTACTACAATTTTCCGCTATCAGCCTGTGGAAATCAGTCATGTCCTTCTTTCTCTTGGTCATGTCTTACTTTCCCTTGGTTGTGTCCTACTTTATCTTGGTCATGTCCTTCTTTCTCTTGCTGTTCAAGCTGATGGTTATCTAAGACCTGCTTTCTGCGCATTGTTTATGTAAGCTGGGTTTCCTTTAACGGCAACCACTAAAACTATCATTACACATATCCTTTACAGGATGTGACAGCACCAACCCCAGCATTTTGTTAATGTTTGATTTTGCAAGGCAATTTTAATTCTAGTAGTTTGCCATTCTTTTTCTAACGGGTCAGCACTCCATATCATTGTCAAAATCAACGCAAAATGCCTACTGCAAGATGACCTCCAGTTGGAATCAAATCAGGTACATCGAAATTATGAAGCTCATTCACAATACACAAGCTACAAAGACAAAACACCTTAGATCAAGGAGGAATAATTTTTAAAGATGTTGACACTTTTCATCTTGTCGACAGTGTTTCATCTTGCTATGGGTGGGCATGATAATCACAGCCTGTGACAATACCGGTTAATCCACGTGTGGATTCTGGAACCCCATTTGGAGGGGGAGGGGTCGAATGGACCCATTGCCCCCTGACAAGCACTTTGGGGGTTGAGATATATAAATGACATAAATAACCCATTGGTACCTTATTAGGGGAATTCCCCTCAGAGTGTATCTGCCTTATAAGAAGTGACCAACAGTCTGCAAATAAGTAAGTCAGATTTGTAAAACAGATGTGCAAACAGAACTAAAGTTCTGGTACAGGGCCAGAGTGCAGAAGTGGATGAACAACCAGAACTTTCCACCAGAGTCAACAATGGGTGAATGCGAAGAAGAAATCATAACTTAGGTAAGAAGCTGTGTTAGTGGTAAACTTCTCACTAACTGATGGTACATACATCCTAGGTAAGTGGCTGTGTTGGTAGTAATCTGCTCAGTAACTGATGGTAACAGGTTATGGACAGCCTCATGAAAAAGCCTGAGGTCAATTATTTCTAGCCTCCTATTTTTATAGACCAAATGATATCTAGTGGACAGTGGACATAATACTGGCTTCATTTTCTAGAACATGTTCTGGATCCCTTTGGACTGCGTGGATCTGGGAGGTCAGGTAACTTTGGTCAAAATTCGCATCAGATTTCTGACAACCAGTGAGGTTTGAACAACAGATCAATATCATGGCACACGGGTAGTAACCCATAAGTGCTCCGTTCTTCTTCTAACACAAGTCTGAGTCAGGAGAAGCTCAGCACAATGCACAGGCTCTCTAGCACCGGCGAGGATCCTAAAACACCTTGGGTAGATTTTTACCTCCAAATTGTTTGCCCGGGCAGCGTTGTTAGGCTACTCTTTTTGATTTCCAACTGCCAAAAGATCTTTTACATGCGCAACAATGCACACGGGCGTCTGATCTCACTACCCAGAGACCAGGGAGAATTACTAGAAGTCCAAGTCCACGTGAAAAAATCCCAGCCCTCACCGGGCATTGAACCCGGAACCTCTAGCACTCAAGGCAGACACCATGCCTCAATATCATGCAATCCCTCTGACAACCAGAGAGCAAGCAAGCTTGTTAACAGGTCTCCTAGCCCTGCTCCCTTCCTGATGAAAATGGTGATAACATAAATCCTTCATTCACCTTTCCCCTTGTTGACATGTATGTCCATTCACATGTTCATATGCATGTCTGTGGTTCAAGCATTTTCCTGCATATGCTCACAGCTCAGCTGAACAGCTGTCTGGAGGAGGCACGTAACATCCTGGGCGAGTCTGTGCCCGAGTCTGTCATGTCGGACGTAATCATACAGAATCAGTTTAACCTTGAAGCTTCAGTCAACCAGTTATTGTGTCAGCAAGGTTTGTCTGATTAAAATTTTTTTTTAAGATCACCACCTGGCAGTGAGAGCCACTGTGATGTAGCGGCTAGAAACTCGCCTGCGGATCCGAAGGTTGTGGGTTAAAATACGCACAGAGCTGGATTTTTCCAAACACGACCTTGGCTTTCAGGTCTACCCAGCCTTAAATCGGTATAAGGAATATTCCTGGGAAGCAAAGGTGGCGATCGTGGTGTTGACCACATCACCCATCAAGGGCTGATTGGTCTAAAGAAATATAAGCTTAGTCAGCTATGCCCGATCTGCCATTGGCATGTAAATGGACCTTTACCAGTTGGCAATACTTTGCGCTGATTCTTGCAGATTAAAGATAAGAAGACTGACTTTATTGCACAAACTTTTATCCCTCGTGACTCTCTCTCTCTCTCTCTCTCTCTCTCTCTCTCTCTCTCTCTCTCTCTCTCTCTTTCTCTCTCTGTCTCTGAAAAGCAGCAGGTTATATGCTGAGACTGCCACACAAAGCACGGATTCTGTGGCTCCACTAAAACCCCAAAGATATCTAAAAACTCCACTGTGAGCTGACCGACCTGGTCTGAAACTGACCGTTGACCCTTTTATGACCTACTTTGCTATAGAGATTCCACATTGTTGTGAATAATTCAGGGCTCAGATTTATCAAATCAGTCATCTACGAACCTAATCAAAGGCTGAAATATGACAGATGGTCCACTTCAGCGGAGCACCTGCTGTTTTTATAAATGGGTTTTATGTTACTCAGTTGTCTAGCAAGAGTCTCCAGATTCACAAGAATGCAAGTAACGTAGACATGAGACACCGTGATTCGAGAATGAGTTTGTGACGTTCAACCCCACCAGGACCATACAATGAGCGACCAATACCTGGCAACACCAAGTACTACCATTCGGATGAGGACCACCTGGGCGCAAGTCCTAGAAACACTGGTCAAGCATTCGGTTGTATTAGGACCACCAGCTTTAGCCGATTGTTGGGGCTTTATAATAACGAAAAATTGTGTCCCACATTAGGACTGGAAAATTATAATTTGAGAATCGCAGAACTTGTATTTTATTTGCGCACATTTTTGCCATGTTGATTACTGCTGTTTAGTCTGTTATGTTCTCATAATAAATATTAATTTTGAATACTTTGTATGCTTCCATAATTAGATGCCCCCAAGCCTCAGCGAGAGCCCAGGCAGAGAAGAAATCGTTCACAGGGTAACTGATGCTTTCTGTTTGTTTATTTGTCTGTTTGACTTGTCTTTTCTTTGCATCTCTTCTTCTTAGCATTCCCTGGCTGTAAACTCCAATGTAAAGTTTGAGTTGGTCATCCACTTTGGGACTTCTTTACCTTCTTTTTCTCTATTTGCACACTCTCCCCCAACATTCTATCTTATTTTGGGGTACTAATTTCTTTTCTTTACCTGATTTTGCCCTCATTGTGTGCCGCCATCACTGAAAAAAAGGGCCTAATACTGTTTTACACATAATTTGTCTCTCTTATCTCTACTTCCATTGCCTGTTTTGTCGCAGATCGATTGTAGCGACGGCAACAGTTGTGATATTCTTTTTTATGTTTTAATGAAACATAGGCTTTCAACCAACTTGCGCAAGTCATTTAGAGTTTATTATTGGCTGCATTTTTTTAGATACATGTTGGGGGGACCCAAATATAACCACACGGTTGAACAGGGTTTCTTGGATTTGTACCTGGGTCATTCTGATCTAAATGGTGACTCTTTGGGTCACCAGGTGTTAATGACTCTGTATTCAGTCCCAGAGAGGTTCAGCTGATACTGCCAGTACACAGGAGGATTCGGGAATTAAAGACATGCCGCTGTTGCTTCTTCTTAAAGTCCATGCCATGTGGCGTTGGTAGTCATGTCTACCACAACCCTTCTGTCTCGTGTACTTTCAGTCAACTCTGACACAGATGATCCTCCTTTGCCATGACGTAAAGACTGTCCAGCATCTTTTCTCTTAGTCTCCCTCTGCCTCTCCTCTGCTTTAACTTTTCTATCGGGTGTACTATCACCTGATTTACTCTGAAATAATAATTAGATCCATACATGGTATGCCAGGGATATAGGTTGATGGGCATATTGTTAACAACCTGTGATATGCTAACAATATTGATTTGGTCACTGAAAATGAAACACAACTACAAGAAGTGATGGATATAATTGTAATGGAAAGTAAAAACAAGGGTCTTAGAGACATTTTATGTATGAAAATACATAAACAAGAGAAATTGTCATGTGACCATTCTTATTTATGGCAGGCCATGATGGAAGGGATGCTCTTCAAAGAACCTGAAACATGCCAATGATGCTTGAGAATATCTGAGAGCATCTTTGTGTGTGCCTGGTGTGCTGTGAGATCCAGTTCTTTAAACTGTGAATCAATTGAGAATGATAAATACATACATAAATATACGCATTATATTTCAATTTGTTTGTTTGTTTGCAGCTTCCACAACTCCAGTGAAGACAGAGAGTGACAGTTCAGTAAACACAGTTCAGGACTTTACAGTTTCTCACAGGAAAGCCACAACAGGCCCCCCTGCACTTGTGACCCCTTCTAAGTCCACCTCAAAGGCCACCATTGGCTTCAAGACGGATGAAATCCAGAAGTCAACGCCTCCATCATCTCCGGCCGGCTCCAGGAAATCTGGACTTAAACTCAAAGTACAAAATGATTGTACTTCTGCTGCATCATCCCCAGCTAAAGATTCCAGGAAGGCTTCTGTAAAAAGTCTGTCAGCACACTCTGGTCTTGCAGACACAGACAGTGCATCTTCAACAAAGACTGTGACAGTTTCAGAGGAAAATGGGAGTTCAACTAGTGCAATAGACTCCAGCTTAAGAAATGCAGTGGAATTCATGGGACTTGAGGGAGATCAGGAGACTATTCAGACTTCAGTTGATTCTATGAAACCTGTGGCTCCTCTGCCAAAATCTAAGTAAGTTCTTGAGTTATCTTCTTAAAGTTTGTATTGTTTGGTATTCACTGTCATCATATGTGTGTCCATCAGGTATGTGTGTCCATCAGGTATGTGTCCATAGATTTTCATCGTTAGTGTTCTGGATAATTTTCCGGGAAGGTTAAGCAGGTCAACAAATGCCTAAGGAAGTCACATGTATCGGTCGAAAGGCACAAATATTGCAGTTTTGTTGGGATAAGAACCGACATCACAGAACTCAGGGCATTCCCATAAGATTTCCATCCCTGTCCTCAGCAGCCAGCGCAGAGTTCTAGTACCAATAGTGCCAGTAGCATTCTGATTGTACTTTCCGTCTTGCCTATCCTTTGAGCATCGAGAATCGGCTAGAAACCCTTGTCACTCCCCGCTGTATCACTCTCAACAGACTGGTGGTCCATTTGCTCCTCCGACATATGATGCTGGGCTTATTGTTTTCTGTAGACATATCAGCCCTCACTGGGTGATTTGGTAAACATTATTTTGGCTACCTTTACTTCCCATGACATTGCCTGCTATCCATTGAAGACTAGGTAAACCCTGGAGCTGAGGTAAGTTTTGAAGAAAAAAAATATGAAAATCTTCAGGTCTGCTAAAAATAAAAAATTTTTTAAAGACAAATATCTTATTGAAGATGTTTAGCCTATGAATATAAAGCAAGGACACCCCCACCCCCTATGGGTATATAGCAAGGACCCCCCCCCCCCCCATGAGTATATAGCAAGGACCCCCCCCCCACCCTTATGATTATATCGTGTCGCCCCCCCCCCCCCCCCCCCACCCGATAAGACAATGTGATTAAAAAGGACCATATATCCTGCAGCAAAGAAAACAGTATGAAGATATGTTTCGCTCAGAATGTGTTGCTGATCTATAAATAAATACACGGGTTATCATATTAATTAGATTTTTATCAGTGCCTGTACAAACTGCTCGTGGCAAAAAGAAGAGGTCCTTGGCATTTTTTTTTAAATAGTAAAAAAATATTTTTATATTAAAACTGAAAACAAATATGTTAGTGATGACAAAACAAGTCCACCCAATTTGAAAACTGCTTAATGCCCCTCTTAAAACCTCCTCACATTTCCCTGGGGTGGGGGGGGGGGGGGGTGGGGGGGGAGGGAGGTAGACAACGGCTGTAGTGGATGAAAGGATGGCTATTGTCACTTGTGATGGCTAAACAAGATGATAGTATACAACATCTATCTGAAGTTAAAAAATTGTGATATTAAATTACTGCACTGTTACATGGAATTAACATTGTCTAATTTATGTAATGAATATTGTAGAAATTCTGTTTTTCTTCTTTGTTTATCTTGTGCTTTGCTCAGTCTTTGTTTGAATGTTGCAAGTGAACTTTATATTTTGCAAATAAATTATGGCAAGAGAAATTACTTGCAAAATATAAAGTTCATTTACAACATCCACAATTATGACAAGAGAAATAACTTGCAAAATGTTAAGTTCATTTAAAACATCCACAATTATGGCAAGAGAAATTACTTGCAAAATAAAAAGTTCATTTACAACATCCACAATTATGACAAGAGAAATTACTTGCAAAATATAAAATTCATTTACAACATCCACAATTATGACAAGAGAAATTACTTGCAAAATATAAAGTTGATTTACAACATCCACAATTATGGCAAGAGAAATTACTTGCAAAATATAAAATTCATTTACATCATCCACAATTATGACAAGAGAAATTACTTGCAAAATATAAAATTCATTTACAACATCCACATTATGGCAAGAGAAATTACTTGCAAAATATAAAGTTCATTTACAACATCCACAATTATGGCAAGAGAAATTACTTGCAAAATATAAAGTTCATTTACAACATCCACAATTATGGCAAGAGAAATTACTTGCAAAATATAAAGTTCATTTACAACATCCACAATTATGGCAAGAGAAATTACTTGCAAAATATAAAGTTCATTTACAACATCCACAATTATGGCAAGAGAAATTACTTGCAAAATATAAAGTTCATTTACAACATCCACAATTATGGCAAGAGAAATTACTTGCAAAATATAAAGTTCATTTGCAACATCCACAATTATGAAAATATAAATGCTGCATGTACGCAAACATTTTTTATGCCTCTTGTGTTAAAAAAAACACCTAAACTTACCATTATATATTTGTACAATACAAATCTGATCTTAACCCGAGCCTCGTGGAATAGATATCTGCGACTTTACTGAGAAATGCAGATTGTAAGAACAGAAAACTAGTAATCTGTCTTCAATAATGATGTTATCGCCTAATGTGAGAATCTTCCATGAGATCACCAATAGTCTGTACGTTGTTTAGGTTAAAGAGCTCCAAGATTGATGTGACGAGTGAGTACTCCAGACGACACGGCGATAAGGAACTACTCAACCTGGTTGTTATAGGTATGTCACATGTTGTTTATGGGCAAACAGTATATATATATATATATATATATATATATATATATATATATATATATATATATATATATATATATATATATATATATATATATATATATATATATATATAAATGAAATTTTTGTGGGTGTGTGTGTGCATGCTCAAATACTGCTTTAAACTTGAATGTTTGTAACTTTACAATGCCCCAAACAGTCTCGTAAAGAAAGATGTATTTTCTATTTCTTTCTCTACTTGAGGTTTTTGATGTAGGATTTTTTTTTTTTTGGGGGGTAGATAAATACTTAGGTGAAAATATACAGTTGTATCTCTTGCATCTTTTCTCTCCTCTGCCCCCCCCCCCCCTCCCCCCCCCCCCCTTTCTGTCCTCACATTTAGCTTTCTAATCATAGTTTGTGTTCAACAAAGAAATTTTAATTTTTTCTTGACATCGGCTAAACTGAAGTCATCCTTGTTTGCAAAAACAGTGTATACTCCATGTGTGGATACCAGACTCTGATGGGGGGGGGGGGGACCCACTGTCCTGTAACATGAGTGTTGTAAAAGGGGACTAAAAATGTATGGGCTTGCTGATATCGAGTGTGTTGAACCGATATACATAGACATGGCAGCCTAGATGTAAACCACTACTTAATATGCAAACCACCCTCCTAGTTGCAAATACAAAAAACAAAAACAAAAAGAAAGAAGAAAAGGTGAAGATCTATATACATTTAAACCTGGATACAGTGGCACATATAGCTTCTGCTGTTGCATTCTGGACCCTGTCTGTCACCTACAGGTCATGTGGATGCGGGCAAGAGTACGCTGATGGGTCATGTCTTGTACCAACTGGGCACAGTCAACAAGAAAACAATGCATAAATACGAGCAGGAATCCAAGAAACTGGGCAAAAGTTCCTTCGCTTTTGCTTGGGTGTTGGATGAGACTGATGAAGAAAGGTACCCTTTTTAAAATTTTGGTTACATCGTTTGTTTATTTTTCATTTAACCTCCCTCCCTCTTTATCACTGCTTTTTTGACATTCTTTGGAGATAAACTTTTGCTGTGCTATGGATTTGAACACAACAGCCTGGCTGAGGCCTATTTTTCTTCTTCATCTTCACTTTCACCGGCTGTAAACTCCGGCCAAAAGTTCTGGTTCTTCGTCCATTTATGGATTGCAGTCTTTTTCCAGAACCTGAGTATTGCGTGTGCATCCGTTTGACAGATCTGTATGTAGACTGTTGGTTCCTTGCCTCTCAGGCAGATACACTCCGACTTGAAAGGAAGCTCCCAATTAGTTGACTCTCACGACATGCTTTTGGGTAGGCAGTGGTTCTATTCTTGTTTTTCCCATAGTAGGGCCCCGGAACCCACACGGGAAGCTGAGGCTTATGAATATTATGAAGAATTAATATAATTTCTGTAGAGATCAGGAAAGCTGCAGTGGTGTAGTGGCTTAACGCTCGTTTCCAGCCTGAAGGTTGTGGGTTTAAATCCGCAAGATTTTTTTTCAGTGATGGGCCTTGGCTGCCAGGTCGACCTAGCCTTAAATTGGTACCAGGTAAAGTCCTGGGAAGTAAAAGCAGCCAGCATAATGCTGACCACACCATCTTTCAGGTGCCGATTTGTCTATACAAATATGAATCTACCATCATTTGCCTTGTGCGCCCACCATTCACATGGAAAGGGTGTTTAACTTGTTTATTTTACTTTTTAAAAAAAAAGAAGAAAAAAAAACCTAATTCTTTAGTCTTTTGAAGTCTAAGCTAAAAGGAGTGTCTGATCCGGTTACCGGACAAGAGCCATTTTGTCTGGCTAAATGTAGATTGCCTTAAAGATGTGTTCTTTGTACAAGGCCTCATTGGGCCAGTTGGATATTCCGATTCCTTTTAAGAAAAAAAATTAAAAGGTCGACCACTTTCAGACTGCTGCAAGCTAGCCCAGGCTGCTAACAGTCTCTGCCTATATTTGGGGTCAGGGGTTATTTGCGCCACTTTCGTGACTAAATTCTAGTATTTGCGCCGTTTTTGAGCTTGATGCTCCCTTCCGATTCAGACTGCTCGTCCTCCACCCTGTTGTTAGTTGTGCATGTCTTTCCTCTTCCTATTTGGTGTTTTCTCTTGGTTTTGTCTCCCTCTGATTTGGCCAGGCGTATTTCGTAGGAGAGCGAGCTTTTCTACATAACCTCCTTTGGACCACCATTTACAGTTTTAAAATTTTGAGTATTTAATTTTGCCAAAAAGTACTGAAAACAGTTTTTGATTTTGGATAGTTCCGAAATGTGAAAATATTTCACGTGTGACCATAGTGGTCTTATATTTGTCTTCCTGCAATAAGAACGGGTTAGTAATGTCGTGGATGTATGTGTGAAATGTTGTGTGGAGCCTCAAAGCGGGTCTAATCGTCATTTGTTAGTGTGATCCAGCTGTGTCAGTTTGGGTTGGCAGCTAGGCTCCGGTGTACGTAAATACCAAATACCCGGATCACCCAGCTCACGCTTTGAGATCTAAATGTTCGGCGATGAGAATTGCTGTGGCATGTTGGGTATCGAACTCAAGTGCTCTCTGTGGAAATGGGTTGTGGGGTTAACTCATAGTGCATCCGAAAGAGGTAGGAAATGGTGAGGAGAAAGGGGGGCGGAGGCCATTCAGTCATATCTCGTCGTTGCCGTCTTGCTGAATTCTAGCGTGGCCTTTAGCCGGGATAATACGTATCGTCACCAACCTTTGCTATCATCCCACTGATGGGACAGTATTGGTGGTTAAGTGTTGTCAGTCATATCTTGTTGTAAGCCCTACCGGTCATGTTTATGTTGTATGCATGATGTGGAATGGGATGTTTTTTAGTATGAATCCGAGTATATGGATGCACGCAACTAAGTGTATGCGTACATGCACTCGAGTAGTCATACACGCAGACAACACTACATGTGTGCACTTCCTTTCATACTTATCCATGTATGCATACCTATTTGACATTCCGCACACATACATACTCTTTCATATGTGTCTAGCAAGTTGAATAGCCCTGCTCAAGAAGATATACTGTCAGAGAAAACATATGGGGGGGGGGGGGGGGAGGGGCGTCTAGTAAACAGTGGCTTTTCTAAAACTATAAATGTGTTGGTTTTTGTTACAGGAGAAATCTTTGTACTTGTTAGGTAGTGTCGTCGTCCCCGTCCTCCCCCCCCCCCCCTCCCCCCCCACGATTGCATTCTGTAGAATTAACACCTCAAGTGTAAGAAAGGTACAAATCCTGAAAGACTTCATTTAGCTGAGGTACAAATCTCCAGAAAGACTTCATTCAGCCGAGGTACAAATCCAGAAAGACTTCATTCAGCCGAGGTACAAATCGTGAAAGCCTTCATTCAGCCAGGGTACAAATCCTGAAAGCCTTCATTCAGCCCAGGTACAAATCCCAAAAAACCTTCATTCAGCCGTATAAAACAGTTAATATTGTGGCATCTGATGGTTATTCCAGGGCCTGCGAAGGAATCTTTTTTGTTGCTGTTGTGGTTTTGTTTTCTAAACTAGTGGTATATGTTTTGTTATCAGTGAAAATTAAAATACTACACATAAACATTGAGTCTAATATTTTTGTCACAGAGCTAGAGGGGTTACTATGGATGTCGCACAAACTAGGTTTGAAACCGAGAAGAAGATTGTCACTCTGCTGGATGCTCCAGGACACAAGGATTTTATTCCAAATATGATTACAGGTAATAAAGCTTACCAGTTTTCTCATTGTTTCCATACAGTTGTTGTCATTTAGATGTGTATTGTGTACACTTTAGTTGCTCTTTGTCATGTTTGTTGATGTAAACTTTTTAATAAGCACCCAAAAACACAGAGGCAATTAGTGCAGACTTCACTATATGTTGATGTAAACTCTTTAATAAGCACACAAAAACACAGAGGCAATTAGTGCAGACTTCACTATATGTTGATGTAAACTCTTTAATAAGCACACAAAAACACAGAGGCAATTAGTGCAGACTTCCCTATATGTTGATGTAAACTCTTTAATAAGCACACAAAAACACAGTGGCAATTAGTATGGACTTTGCGGTGTTAGGTAAAGGTACACATGGTTAATCTCAGACTTGCGTGGTCAGATGTACAGTGTAACAAAGATAATGTGTCTCTCAGTTGAAGAGATTAATTTACTGCCTGTCAAATTTTACTGCATTTTGTCAGGTGCACTAATTACTACAGACGTACATCAACAGATAAGGAAGCACACACTACTACAGACGTACATCAACAGATAATTAAGGAAACACACACTACTACAGATGGACATCAACAGATAAGGAAGCACACACTACTACAGATGGACATCAACAGATAAGGAAGCACACACTACTACAGATGGACATCAACAGATAAGGAAGCACACACTACTACAGACGAACATCAACAGATAAGGAAGCACTAGTTTTCCATAAGAACACAAACAGTGACTGTTGTAGTTAAAGAAGCTTTGTTAGCACACACAAACAAAAGACACTGACACAAGTGTCTCTTTCAATGTTTTAGGTGCATCGCAGGCTGATGTGGCCATTCTTGTGATCAATGCAACGAAGGGAGAGTTTGAGACAGGCTTTGATGCTGGGGGTCAGACCAGGGAACACGCTCTCCTGGCCAGGTCTTTAGGTAAGTCAGTGTCTCTCTGCCGTTGTTTAGCTCGCGGCTACATGCAAATCTTCTTCACAAACGGTTACTATGTTTTTAAAAAATAGTTTGTGACTAAATATGTATGCATGTTAAGAGACAATTAAATCTGGGGAATTGATAAAAATTAAGTTGGATTAATTAAAAAAAAAAACACACAAAAAAAAAAACTAAGAAAAATGTCTATGCGGCCATTTATATCAGCAGCTGTAAGACACAAAAATAAGAAAAAATTTTAGGCAGCCATTTATATCAGCAGCTGTAAGACAAAGAAATAAGAAACATTTGTAGGCAGCCATTTATATCAACAGCTGTAAGATGAAGAACATAGCAGTATGTTACATCTTGAGGAGATATGTTTAGAAAGTAATCAAACAATATTTGAAATGTGGAAACAAATAGATAAAGAAAACAAGGCTGTCCAAGAGAAACTATAAGACGAACGTTGATGACAGAGGCCAAAGGTGCTGGGCTAGATTCCATTCCTGTTACCAGAAAGATTGCACAGGTTAGTACAGAGTAGAGGACTAGACTGCAAGCTCTGTGTGATATATAAACCACACAACATGATGATGTGTACGAGACAGTGAAGTCATTTCTGAACTCATGCAGTAGAAGACAGTCCATCAAACATAGAATGGTTATGAGAAATTCTTCTTCTGGTGCCTTTTCTTTAGCAGACCTTGATGATGATAGTGACTCATTCTCCATGTCTCACTCATCTGATATTTTAATGATGTTGCTGTTGCTTATTTTTATTATGTGTTGCCCATGTATTTAAGCCTTCTACCTAATTGTTTTATTGTCTTTCTTTATACCTATATAGTATTTGTTTTTCTGTAAGAGGTTTGTGAGAACCAAGTGACTGTCTGCAACGCTTACCAGACTGCAAGAACATCAAGTTAGAAGGTGTCTGGCCAGACAAGAATACTATGCAGGAGGCCAAAGAAGAATAAGAAACAAACATAGAACTGGCGTCTTTTGCCACTACATGCTGCAGGATTTACTGCTGAGGGAATTCAAGCATTTATGGACTGAATGTTTTGACGTGCAGGGAAGACAATCTGTTGACTAAGTTACTATTATAGTATGTTCTCCACATAAGGCTAGTTTTAGTTTCTCTATTCTGCCTCTTTGATTATTGATATATCGCACAATTTAACACCACCCTTATTGTTTTCTTGAGTGATCTGGTTATGAGTGTAGCTGTCAGTAACCCTGTATTTGTTTTCTTATCACTCAGTGACATTCTTAATGATCTTCTCGAAAACATTATGTTCTTCTGCAGTCAGCATCAGCTGTGTTAAACATTCTTTCTCGTCTGGGTCACAAACAGGACAGTGTATCTAAGGTCGCCGTCAGTGGCCTTACAACTTGTAATATGGCTCCATTGAGCCAGATTCACACCCTCTGTCATGTGTAGTTAAGACAGTTCCGTAGTACACACATTTTCAGGAGTCTGTCTGCTCCACAATCACAGGCATCAGAATCTACCTTGCCTGTATGTACCTTATGATAAGGCATGGTAAAAGCTCTCAGTTGGCAGGTATATGAGACTCTGAACAAGGATGACCTTCTTATCTATATACTTTTGGTAGTGTGTTGAGTGCCATTTCGTTGCTCCTATAAGCCAGATGCCAGTCTTTGAGTGTAATTTTGTTACTGTAAAAATGCTTTACAGTTTTCTGTGTTCATTTGCAGGAGTAGGTCAGGTTATTGTAGCTGTTAACAAAATGGACACAGTGGACTGGGCAGAGGAGAGGTACCAGTTGATCGTGAAAAAGATTGGTCAGTTCCTGACCAAACAAGCCGGCTTCAAGGAGTCTGACATCTTCTTTATTCCGTGCAGTGGGCTGACTGGAGAGAACCTGACCAAACCTCCGACAGATCCCTGTCTCACCTCCTGGTATACCTCTGGGATCACACTTGTCAAACAGATCGGTAAGGCTGGCTAAATAAGCACAAAATGCCCTGTGCACTTAAGGTGGATTAAATAAAAGATCCTTTACTTAATAACAGTGCAGGATTCTTTCTTTCTTCTTTTTCTTCTTTGCTTTCACCAGATGTAAACTCTGGCAGAAAATTCTGTTGTCTGTCCATTTCTGGACTTTAGTCCTGTTGCAGAACTTGAGGTTTATGTGCACATCCATTTTACAGATCCTGCTGGGTCTGTTATTTTATTTTCCTAAAAAGAAGCCAGAAGCCACACAGGGATCTCTCTTATTATTCTGGTACTGTTTTAGGTTATAGGTCACATGAGGCTCGAGTTTATGAGTCCATCTGTCCTGTGCAATCCTGTTAGTATCATGAATGGAAGTCAGTACAACACATTGTCCTCTCTCCACAACAGAATTCATCTGAGGTTTTCTCTGAAATGTCTTTGTTTCCTCAATCCATTTGTTTCCCAGCTTTGTCCTAGTTTTTACTGAAATATTGATGCACTGTTTTTTTTTCACCCCTAGCCATATTTGTACCTGAACTCTTTCAAACCCAGGCTGCTGCCATTTACAGTAGCAACTATTTGAAGTTGAAATTGTAGATGGGGAGTCGCTTCACTTGCTAATTTGTCATGAGAATGGACATAGAAGCAGTAACAGCAGCTGTCTGATGGCTGGGGAGTAATAAATGACTCACAGTTTGCTCTGACCAATAGAAACTGGTGTCTTGCCCTCAGAGTGGCTTTCCTTGCTTAGTAAGACTCAGATAAAAAGTGAATTGTAGATTTTTTTCATCAGGACGTTTGGGTGTGCATGATGATGGGCAGGCTGTTAGATTAGCCTCTGCAGCCTTTCTGAGCAGTGAGCTATTGTTTTGGGTAAAGACTTGGTAAAGTGGGCTATGAGTATCTTCACAGCACGCCGGACACATCCATAGGTGTTCAGATTCCCCTCTCAACATATCCATCAGCGTCGTGCGCTTAATAGTACCAGTCCTATGTTGGTTAACAAGACTTTGTGTGACTCTCACGCTTGGCTGTGCTGATATTTACTCCCAATTCGCGTATACTTGGTGAAGGCTCTCTGGTATCAAGTGAATAGTGCACCAGATCCAACAGAGCATTTTTATCTGGAGAAAATGATTCAGCTGTCTGCAGTGGGAAAAGCAGGTGAGCTTTAGCCATGTTACATCTGGTACCATCTATATGATGACTTTGTTGGCTGCTGAGAAAGGAGACGGAGCACATTTGGGAATGTTCTGAGTGCAGTAATGTCAGCTCTTGATTCATCCTTTTCTAGATCGTTCACGTATTTGCAGGTGATGAGTTTCCATATGCTTTATTTTCAGATGACCTCAAGCCACCAACAAGACCAATAGACAAACCGTTCCGCTTGAATGTCTCTGACGTGTTTAAGGGTGTGGGTACGGGTTTCAATGTAGCAGGACGAGTCGGGTCTGGCTATGTGCAGCCAGGAGATAAAGTTATTATTATGCCAGCCGGAGTTACAGCCAATATTAAAAGTAAGTGATTTCAGTCGCTACTGAAATTCATTATCAGTATAATTTTTTTCCTAGTTGATGAGTGTGGACAGTCATGTTTCACCATCTTGTCACCCGACTCCCATCCTTTTTCGTCATTCACCCCTAAAATGCAATTAGTATGTTTATCTGCGGTTTTACAGCTAGGCTACAATATCATTGCTTTTCAGCACAACAGATTCAAATTTCATCAAGTTTGTATTTAGTTGTCTGTAAACGACATGCCCCCCCCCCCCCCCCCTCCCCAATGGGGCTCTCCAAACTCACACAGGGGAGCCTCATATCCAAATCTGCATTGTTTTCTCAACTATTCCAATGTGTCCATGTCATTCTTCTTCTTCATGTTTACCGGCTGTCAACTCCTACACAAAGTTCTGGTTGTTTGTCCACCTGCAGACTTTGGTCTCATTCCAGAACCTGAGTGTTGCATGCACACAGATCTGGCCCTTTTGTTGTTGTTGTTGTTGACTGTTGGTTCCTTGTTACTCAGGCAGATGTACTCCGACTTTGAAGGGAGCCCCTAATTAGTTGACAACTCTTATGACATGTTTATTGGGGAGGCAGTGAGTCTATTCTTGGTGGTTACACAATTTACTGCCTGACATATTTTAATCCATACCATCAGGATTCTTTTGTGTGCTTCCTTATCTATTGATGTACGTCTGTAGTAGTGTGTACTTCCTTATCTATTGATGTACGTCTGTAGTAGTGTGTGCTTCCTTATCTATTGATGTACGTCTGTAGTAGTGTGTGCTTCCTTATCTATTGATGTACGCCTGTAGTAGTGTGTGCTTCCTTATCTATTGATGTACGTCTGTAGTAGTGTGTGCTTCCTTATCTATTGATGTACGTCTGTAGTAGTGTGTGCTTCCTTATCTATTGATGTACGTCTGTAGTAGTGTGTGCTTCCTTATCTATTGATGTACTTCTGTAGTAGTGTGTGCTTCCTTATCTATTGATGTACTGTTGCGCGCTGATTTGGGTTAAGTGTGATATTGTGGGAAGGGACAATGGTATGCCTGTACTTCCTGTAAGTTCACGAGGAAAGAGTGTCAATATGATCCGAGTATTAAGAGGAGACCAGTGAAAACGTCTATTCATGAACAAGGCGTGCTTGCACGAGAGAAAGTGGACTCGTAGGATTCTGTGTGGTGGGCTGAAAGCGTGGATAACGAGATAAAGTGTGAATTAAGTGACAGCGTGATTCTCGGGTAACATCAGCCACCCACATAAGTGTGATCCTCGGGAACGCTCACATGAGCGAGTCCCGCGAACACCCACAGGATCATGATTCACGAGAACGCCCACACAAGCGTGCCTCTCGTGTAATCACCATCCACCTACACGGATTCGACATATATAAATTGGGCTGCGTAGACAGTCCGGAGGGTGAGCTGTAGCCTGAGGGCTAAAGCCCCTCGGGGGCAGTAGATAGAGCGAGAAGAGAGAGAAAACGAGAGTCAGAGACCAAGTCAGGGTCCAGGTAATCTCTCGAGTCTAACGGACAAACATACCGTACGACTATCGGGCATTTAGGTCCGAGTAAGTGTCGAGATTGCGGTACATGTCAAAAGTATGAGAGGACTTATGGTAGAAGTCCTGTCGGTCATTGGAGTCTAACCGACTAGAATACCGTACGACTATCGGGCATTTAGGTCCGAGTAAGTGTCGGGATTGCGGTATGGGAAATATGGTCCCGCTGGCAAAGTAAGTCCAGGGGACGGGAAGACCAGTAGTGCCTGGTTTTCGGAGTACGGCAAGAGAAGTCCGTCTCCAGTCAGCCGTGTTGTATGCTGAATTAATATCAAGGTCCAGTGAATGGGAGAAGTCGTCCTGTTCAGCTGTACGACGCGTCCAGAGAGTGGGACGCCGTCATCCTGGTATCTGCAGTAGTCCAGGAGAGGTCACTACACATTGAGAGATAGAGAGCTGTGAGGACAAATGAACGATGTGCGAATGTCAGCTGTGATCAATAACTACGTCTCTGCATTTGTGTCATGTATCCTGTTAAATAAACTTGTATGACGGTGTCATCGTCGTCGAGTTGTCTTGTTAAGAAAGGAAGCTGAAGAGTACCTGCTAGACACTTGGTAGTGTGCTGACTCAATTTAGCACATAACATGTACGTCTGTAGTAGTGTGTGCTTCCTTATCTATTGATGTACGTCTGTAGTAGTGTGTGCTTCCTTATCTATTGATGTACGACTGTAGTAGTGTGTGCTTCCTTATCTATTGATGTACGTCTGTAATAGTGTATGATTCCTTGTCTGTTGATGTACGTCAGTAGTAGTGTGTGCTTCCTTATCTATTGATGTACGTCTGTAGTAGTGTGTGCTTCCTTATCTATTGATGTACGTCTGTAGTAGTGTGTGCTTCCTCATATGTTGATGTACATCTATAGTAGTGCACCTGACGAGATGCAGTGAAATTTTCTAGGCAGTAAATTAATCTCTTCAACTGAAAGACACAAAACTCCGTTATCCCTGTTACACTGTACATCTGACCACGGAAGTATAAGATTAAGCATGTGTCTCATTTTCTTTACATATAATAGAGAAGTAGGTACTTATTGCCTCTGTGTTTTTGTGTGTGCTAATTAGAGAGTTTACATCAACATTTAGTGAAACACAAAATATGAATCCTTATCAACTGAGATGCACAGATCACATTGTCTTCTTGTTACACTGTACATCACACCATGGAAGTCTAAAGATTAACTGAATTGGTGGATATCTTTGGTTACACTGTACACCCCACCACGGAAGTCTAAGATTAACTGAATTGGTGGATATCTTTGGTTACACTGTACATCCCACCACAGAAGTCTAAGTCTAACTAAATTGGTGGATATCTTTGGTTACACTGTACATCACACCATGGAAGTCTAAGATTAACTAAATTAGTGGATATCTTTGGTTACACTGAACATCCCACCACAGAAGTCTAAGATTAACTAAATTGCTGGATATCTTTGGTTACACTGTACACCCCACCACGAAAGTCTAAGATTAACTAAATTAGTGGATATCTTTGGTTACAGTGTACATCCCACCACGGAAGTCTGAGATTAACTGAATTAGCTGGTATCTCTGGGTACACTGTACATCTCATCATGGAATTCTAAGCCTAACTGTATTGGTTGATATCTTTTGTTGCAGATGTGTTCATAGATGACCAGCCAGTGACCCTGGCATTTGCTGGAGACCATGTTAACCTTACCTTGAGCGGAGTGGACATGGTCAATGTTAATATTGGTAAATATTGACTCTCTGTTACCGTATAGTGAGTACCAGCAGGATACAATGGTTCTTGCTACATGTGGGGGTGGACAATTATTTAGACAGGTAAAAAAGAGCTAAGAGTTTGTGGAGAAACACATCAGTTACATCTGTTGGCAACAGTGGTCCTGATAACCTGCACAGTAGTACAACACTTTAGTCTGGGACGTTACCAGTGAGTCAGTCACTACTATTTGAACAGAGTTCAAAGATCTGTCAGGTTTTTGCTGCAGAGCGGAGGCCACACCATCACTGCAGGACTTGTTGAAGAAGTGCATTATCTTGAGTTGAATTAACCAATAATTATAGCACTCAACACAAATCCGTGATCACTTTGTTCCCAATCTACAGCAGCCATTCTAATGGTACCAGAAGCCGTATGATTGTATGTATATGTTGTAGTTGTAGATGTACATATCTGTACATATCTGAATTAATGGACAACACAGACAAGTTGAGGAACATCTAATGTCTACGGAAGTGTAGTTTCTGTGGAATATCTAAAGAATGCCATTCATGGATAGGAAGACACATGAAGTAGTGTTTCTAGAAGCATATGAAAACCATAACCTCATCACAGAAATTATGCGTTGACGATTTTTGCAGGTGTTATGGGGTGAAAAGAGCAGTCTCTGGCTGAGCAGTTAAGAACGCTGGGCTCTTGTAAGGGTTTGTATCCTTGGTAATGTGATGGACATTAGTTTGTGACGACTGTACTTGCGGTGCGACCCTAAAGACTTGTGGTGCTACCCTAAAGCCTTAGGCTGAAGACTTCCTTGAAAAATGGTAAATACCGGAAGTATAAACAGTAGGAATATATGACGAGATAAATATTGAAATCTTAAGGATAACCAGTAAACTGAATGTAATGGGGGTTTGGGGTTTAAAAATATCTGATGGCTTGGCCACACGGCTAAATTGGGACACAAGAACACACATTGTCATGGCATGAGCTTATGATATACTTTGAGAGAACTTCTCTCAGCTTTCTGCATGCTCTTGAAGTCTGTCTATGCCTGTATATGCCCTTCTTTATGTTTGTCAGACAACAAAAAGTATAGTGGCTTAGGTATATGATGTCCTGCTCCTGCTCCGAGGTTAGATTATTACGCAGACAGTTTCAGCTTTAAGTAGTTGTTAAAAAGTAGTATTAGAATGTACACAGCCTATCATCGTGGTGTTTTGTCAAAGAGCAGCATCCACAAGTCCCATTCTACCAACAGCAGACCAATGAATTGGTCATCATCACTTGTGATTTACACCCAAAAAAAAAAAAGCAGGGTCTATAATAATGTAAGTTTTATGAACACAGCCTCCTTGTGGGTTTCAGGGGCGCATTTTAAGAGAAAAAAGAATAGACACACTGCTGCCTTGTTTGTTTGTTTGTTCCAGTGTCCAGAAGCCATGAGTTGTTAACACTTAGGTTCGGTATCGCAAGCTTTCGGCCTTGATTCCATTGTAAATACCGTAAATCTGGGAGAAATATGGCTTTTCTGCCTACCCCCGGGAGTGAACCCGGACCACAAGGAGTTCGTCACCCGGTCACCGCGCAGTCCGGTTTAGCCAACTACGCTAGAGAGCCAGGCACAAACTGCTGCCATAAAAAGATTATTGGGGGGTTTTCTGAAGTCGAACGTGTGGAGGCCAAAAGTCCCAAGATATTGCAGTCTAGCTGTAAACCACATCAGAACATGCCAACTGTCCTTTTCAGGACAAACCCAGAAGAAGAAGATCTACACAAATGTTTGTTTTTAAAATCATTTCAGGAAGCTGCCTGTGTGACCCAGCTTCTCCGGCCAGGAGTGCTACAAGAATCAGAGCAAAGATCGCCATTTTCAATATCGATACTCCAATAACCAAAGGATTTCCTGTAAGAGTTGTTATCTGTTAATATGAGTCGTTTTAAAATCAAACTTGAGAGCTTTAATGTTTCTCTTTCATTTTATTTTGTCTGCAATTAGTTAATTCTATACAATTTTTGTGCTTGATATTTTGGCCATGTGAAACTTTGAGGTGGGTTGGAGAAAGCGTTGATGGAGGATACAGTTCCCGAAGACACAGACATCTGTAAAGGTGGATGCAAGACATTGAAGAGGCATTGGGTGTGAAAGCACATAGGGCTGGAGTATTGGCTAGAGAAGGGAGAGCGATGCTCTGTAAAGGACCAGCTGATTAATAATAATGACGAGGTGCTACAAATATGTCAGGCAATTAATTGCGCAATATACAGTGTCCTCATTTGCTGGTCAATTGTACCAGAGTACAGAGGCGGGATCGCATGCGCCAGCTTAAAGGCACTAGATGATGATGATAATAGGGGTGGTGATGAGTCCAAATGGTCCACGTTGCAAGATAAGGATAGTGAGAGTGCAAATGGTCCACGTTGCAAGATAAGGATAGTGAGAGTGCAAAGGGTCCACGTTGCAAGATAAGGATAGTGAGAGTGCAAAGGGTCCACGCTAAACTAGTGGTTCTGCAGCTTCACGGGAAGTGCGTGACCCGAAGGTTAGCTGCTGCTGAACGTTACTCGTGAAGGAGGCAGTGTCTCTCTATCAGCAATAGATGACGGACGCATTTGGGCGTACTTGCCTTTGGTTTGTGGGCATGTGTATTGTTTATTCCCACGGAGAATTAGAATGTTTAATGAAAGTTATTATTAATATGTTTGCCACACATCGTCATCCCATTATGTTTGCCGATGAATTTTTTTTTTTTTTTTTTTTCATCGAACACCGGCTGTGAATTCCAGTGGAAGGTCCCGGTTAATCGTCCGCTTGAACTTTTGGCTTTCACCTGGACCTGATTTTTGCGTGTATGACCGTTTTTTATTTCCCTGCCTCATGGGCAGCTGTACGCCGACTTCGAAGGAAATGCTGATGAATAAAATTGACTGAAGCACATTGACAGATGTCTCCTGATGTTTTGCCATGACACTGGTGACAGAGTGTTAGAGATAGATCTGACTGTGAACTGTGTTCGTTATGTACTTTCAGGTAGAGAACCCGGCTATTCGTAAGAAGGTTGACTTGGGAAACGTTTGCATTTGTATATGGGTGAAGTTTTAATCATCCACCTCTAGACACTTCGCCAGGAGGCGTTGCCTTACAAGCAGACGCTTCATAACATGGAGGCCAAGCTTCGTACATGTGCTGTCGCTTCCCAACATCCTCATTACATAAATTATTTTATTATTAATCTTGAATTGGTTTCTGCTTTCATTTCTCTACTGCATATTCAAAGAAATGTTTCCATAATTTTTTTCTAGGTGGTGTTTCACTATCAGGCAATAAACGAGCCAGCTGTAATCAAGCGGTTGTTGTCACAGCTGAACAGGGCAACCGGGGAAGTCATCAAGAAGAGGCCAAGGTAATCAAAAGTGTTGCCTGTAAATTAATTATATATTTTGAAGAAATCATTTTGTGGTGTTTTTTTAAACATGTCTCTGGTTAGCAGTCTTCTTCTTCCTTACATTCACTGGCTGTCAGCTCTGGCAGAAAGTTCTGGTTGTTTGTCCAAATCTTGACTTTAATGGTCTTATTTCAGAACTTGAGTTGTGTGCCGACGTCCATTTTTTGTGGAATTTAAAAACAACAAAAATTGACCAAGATTCCAATTTTTTTTGCTTCTTCTTCTCTTCCTCTGGTTTCTCAGGATAGAATTTCTGAGAATTATAACGAGTTATTTTAAAAACCACAATTCTGAAAAAGTAAATTTTTTACGATTATTACGGGTGAAAGGGTTAAGCTGAGAAACCAGAGGGTTATAATGGAAATAATAAAAAAAAAGTAATGGAATAAAATAAATCATGTCATTCCCACAATAAAAGTTGGCTACAGCGCACCCAATACTGTCTTTGGGAATATTACAAGAGAAGGCCCCCGTCTCTTCCACCATGTGACTCTCGTACCATGAAAAGCACAAGAACATAATTATTTAAAAAAACAATTGTCAGCCACGAAAGTCAAAGCCCAGTACTGGTGGATGTTAAAATTCTTAAACAAAATGCACAGGACTCCATTTCTTGCCTTTAGCACACGTGGTAAAAGTAAAGGACCCTTTTCCACGCCTTTAGGCATATAGGGCTAGACCTATATTTTATAGACCAATCGGTCTTCATCACGCCGGCCGCCTTTACTTCCTGGGACTGCACCCAGTATCCACTCAAGGCTGGGTGGACATGAGAGCCAGGGTCATTTTTGAAAAATGTCCGGCTCCACCGGGGGGGGCGAACACACTACCTTCTGATCTGTGGCGAGCGTCTAGCCACGGCAACTTCCTGGCACGTGGTGCTAGAACTATATTTGTATAGGTCATTCAGCACTCAGTAGGTCATGTGGCCAGTATCAAGCTGGTTACCTTCATTTCCCAGGACACTACCAGGGATCCATGTTACGCTGTGTTTTTTTTACAAAGGAAAATCTGTGTCTTCTGTGGGTGTTACAAGACTTATACTAAATTGTTAGATCTGCGGAGAGGGGTGGTGATTCCTAGTGGTAGCCGTGCTGCGTACAAAGTCTGCGTAGCCATGCCAAGCAGAGATGTAGTGCTCAATATGATGGCCCTTCTGAAACCTGTTTCTTGTTTTAACGGCCTTTCTTCTTCTTAATGCCCACGCCCTGTGACGATGCTAGTCATGTCTGTCCACAGCTTTCTGTCTTGTGCTTGCTTTCGATCATTTCTGACAAGCATACCGTAAGTAGATGAAGTGCTGCACTGCTCAAGATGTTGGCCTTTTTAAAATCTGTTTCTTGTTTTAAAGGGTTTTCTTTCTTCTTAAATAGTCCATGCCATGTGGGGATTCGATGGTAGTCATGTCTTCCGCAACTTTCTATCTCATGTACTTTCTATCATTTCTGACAACCTGACCATGAGTAGATGAAGCGCTGCATTGCTAAAGATGTTGGCCTTTCTGAAACCTGTTTTGTTTTAAAGGTTATCCTTTTTCTTAAATAGTCCATGCCATGTGGGGATGGAAGTCTTGTCTTTCAGTGACTTGTTATCTCATATAATTTCTGTCATTTCTGATACATATGATCTTCCATACCATGTTGTTAGATTGTCAAGCATCTTCTTTCTCTGTCTCCCTCAGCCTTATTTCTCCTTCAACTCTCCGACCGTTACAGCATACTTCACGATACCTCCTTCTCACGACATGCTCAAAGAATATCTTTATCTAAAGGTGGCAGTCATTTCTCTTCATGAGACAGTTTCTTTTGTCTTTAAGAGAAATTAGAAGAGATTTCATGCCAGTGCCATTTGCTGATTGACTGTTTGGATGTTTTTTCAGATGTTTGGTGAAGAACACCAGTGCCATTTGCTGATTGATTGTTTGGATGTTTTTTCAGATGTTTGGTGAAGAACACCAGTGCCATTGTGGAGATAGAGCTGGAAAGATCCATGTGTTTGGAGCTGTACACTGAGTTCAAAGATCTGGGCAGGTTTATGCTGCGGAGTGGAGGCCACACCATTGCTGCTGGACTTGTTGAAGAGGTGCGTTGTCCTTAGTTGAGTTAACAAACCTGCCCATTATAGGAGAAAAACAGAATAGACCCACTGTCTCCTCTACAAAGATGTCGTAAGAATCGATTAATTAGGAAGCTAGATGTTGTGAGGACCTGTTGGGAACAAGTAAACAGTGTGAAGGCACAGATAGATCCTAACAGTCTGAGGAGAATGGCATTATGAGGAGTTACCAGGGAATCTGGCTAACGTTCAACATTCAGTGGAAAGGCAAGATGAATATACAATCAGGTACTGGTACCATTGGGATTGGAACTGTTTGCTTCCTGCTGAAGATGGGGATAGAGCGCTTATGGAAGTGTCCTGAGTGCTGTGAAGTCGATTCTTAATTCACCATTCAAAATTCTGTAGCAGTATAATTGTATGTTTGTCTTGCCTTTCCTCTGAATGCTGAGTGCCGGCCAGATTTCCTGGTCACTGCCTACTTGACTGTTCTGTTCAGACTGGGATGATCTATTTGTGCCTCTCTGTTGTTCACTTGTTCCCCGAAGGTGGATACACAGACCATGAACTGTTTTCATTGCTTTTGGCAAATTAAAATAATAAGAATTTTAAAACAATAAATGGTGGTCCGAAAGGACGTTGAGTAACAACAGAGTTGCGAGCTAAATCCATCTTCTACAAGATACACCTGGCCAAAATAGGGATTTGGAGACTCAACCGGATAGAAGATTAACTACGAGGTAAAACCATCAGGTTGCTATGGATAACAGGAACACAGCCTAACTCAAACAAGAAGCAGCAGACAATCTATTTGGTTAGAGACATAAAGCCAGCAATCTGGCACACGCACCACAGTCTTAGACAAACGCTTGGCGCAAACAAACATGGTAGTTTTGCTGCCAGCAATGGGCTGAACTGGATTGAGTTTCTGATATTATTTTTTCTGCCCTGGGATTGGAGGCGATGAGACAAAAAAACAAGTCCGTGGAGATTGAACTATAACTAATAAAATAATTAGAGACATCAGCGCTTCCTTAAAAGAAAAGTAAACACAATTTCTTTGGCGTTTCCCATTAGAAGAATACTGAGCATGATTTAATGTGGTTTACAGCAAAGCTGTGATAAAGGTTTCTTTCAGCCTAACACATCTGGTTTCAGCAAAACCCTAACTAGTCATCTTTTATGTCCTGCTGTTTGACCACAGTGGGTCTACCCCACCCCCTGAATGGGGTCCTGGAACCCCACATGAGAAAGTAACGGTTTTATTTCCACACTTTGACATGTATTGGCAATGTGGTACCACTCCCACATTTGTTGAGACCAATGGGTGCATTTGATGGCGATGTCAACATCACAGCCGCTTGCCTTTATTCTCAAGTACCCATTTAAGCTAAGCCTAGACAAAATTTCAAGACACCCAGCTTCCTGAGGATCTTCTTCTTTCTTCTTTGCGTTCGGTTTTGTATGCTCAGATCAGACCATCAGGTGGGTTGCCTCTATGAATCTGCATGTCAGCTGCAGGTCCTGCATGGTTCCCCATAGCTTGCTCTTCACACTTTGCGCCAGATGTCTTTATGAAGTTGCAGGTAGAGTGGGCAGGTCTGCAGAATGTGCTCAGGTGTTTGGGATCCTGTTTGACAGGCACACTGGGGGGACTGTACAATCTTTATTTTATGCATGTGGTAGTTGAGCCTACAGTGTCCTGTTCGTCATGAGGATCAGAATGGAGTAAAGAAATTGATTTTTTTTCTAACTTTTCCATATTCTGTTTTCAGTTGCTGCAGACGAAGGCAGTTCTGAATGGAGCAAGCTGATGTCGCAACAGCCCCCGAGATGTGAAGTATATCTTGTCTGCTGTTTACTGGTGGCTTTTAAACTGTTGAGAACCGTCTCACCCATCCAACATCACTGAGGGACATCATCACCCAACAGAGACTGGTGCCGAAAGTCATTGAACCCTGGGAATGTTAACTTATCCTGTTAGGTGGAATAAAATCACAGGTTCTGATTTGCACTTACAGCACTTTCTCTTTTACCAGTTTGGGTATTGTGGGAGATACAAGGTTCTGTATCTTGGCTAAAGGATCTATTTTACTTCTCTTATATTTACTTCTTTCCTCTTGTCTTGCTATAAGTGCCAGTCAGTGCCCCGAAAGGCATTTCTCATACTATTCCAGGGACTTCAAGGGTTTGCCAGCAGTTTGATATTTCTGCTATTTAAAAATAAATCAAATGTGGAAAAGGTCAGCTTGACATATTGACAAGTGACAGAATGGATAATGTGGCCGTTAAACCTTTAACCAGCACACACGCCCGCACATACACACACCCCCTTCCCACACGCATGCACGTACACACCTCACACACACTAAGTAATAAAAAACAACTCACAGAACTACACTAAAACGGTATACTATGGCACTTAGCTTTAAACCATGGATCCGTAACTGGCGTCATATAAGTAAGTCAAGAACCCTTTTTCACGCCAGTCATGCATTGGGTATATGATGCCAAACGCATTTTTATATAGACCAGTTGAACCTTGATGTGGACAGCAGACAGCAGCGAGGTAGTGTGTATCACGTGTTAATCTGAACGCTTGTTCGCATTCAGTTTGGGAAGATAAGGATGATAATTCAGTACTTGTGAATACCGATATTTAAAATAGTTACTTATGAGAGACGTACACACTGCATTTGTTTGGTATGATTGGGGCTAGAGAGGCTACAGAAAGTCCTAGTGAAATATCGGTAAATATCAAATGAGTCATATGTTAGCACAGAGAGGGCATATCAGGAAGGGAATGAGATTGAAAGAAGAGATGACTGCAAAAAGGATGAAAGCTGAGTGTCCTAGAAGAAACATACTAAATGCTTACAATGGCAACAATGGTCTTGAAATCCCATGCTCTGATTGTGTGTTTAACGCGGGTGGGTTTTACTAGTCATGCTCGCCATGACCTAGGAGTCCAATTCCTCCTAGTAACACAATATCTTTTTCTTCTTCATTACCTTTGGTTTCGTATGCTTAAATCAGACCTTTAGGTGGGTTGCCTCTGTGAACTCGCATCTTAGCTGCAGGTCCTTCAAGGTTCCTCATAGCTTGTTCTGCACACTTTGCTCTTGGGACCCTGTTTCTCTTGGAAGTTGTGGGTAGAGTGGTTAGGTCTGACAGACACACTGTGGGGACTGTACAATCTTTATTTTATGCATGTAATAGTTAAGCCTGCAGTGTCCTGTTTGTAGACAGAAAATTGTATGTTGCTTTCTGTTGAGTCTGCTGATAGGGTCTTGTCTATGTTTACTGTTGGTTTGTTCTCACCAGAATTCCTAGTATTTTTCCTTGATTTAGAATTAGAAGATCATGGGGTGTTATAAGATTGTCATCTGGAAAGAGGGAAAATTGCCAACAACTAATATTTTAGCCACTATGAAGAAAGAAGTAAACAGTTCAGAAGTGGTGTCATCAGTCACTAAATACTGATGGAAGTTTAAAGAAGGGGATGCAACCCTTGGATGCTGAATGTGTTCATGTGTGATAAGAATGGTCTGATATAAGTTGTTTAAAAATTATTGGTTGGGACCCGAAGCCGCCGTGTTCTGGGGAAACCACATCTCAGTTGGAATGTAACATGTTTAGAAAGTGTTGGTTATGACCCGAAGCCGTCGTGTTCTGGGGAAACCACATCACAGTTGGAATGTAACATGTTTAGAAAGTGTTGGTTATGACCCGAAGCCGCCATGTTCTGGGGAAACCACATCACAGTTGGAATGTAACATGTTTAGAAAGTGTTGGTTATGACCCGAAGCCGCCATGTTCTGGGGAAACCACATCTCAGTTGGAATGTAACATGTTTAGAAAGTGTTGGTTATGACCCGAAGCCGTCGTGTTCTGGGGAAACCACATCACAGTTGGAATGTAACATGTTTAGAAAGTGTTGGTTATGACCCGAAGCCGTCGTGTTCTGGGGAAACCACATCACAGTTGGAATGTAACATGTTTAGAAAGTGTTGGTTATGACCCGAAGCCGTCGTGTTCTGGGGAAACCACATCACAGTTGGAATGTAACATGTTTAGAAAGTGTTGGTTATGACCCGAAGCCGTCGTGCTCTGGGGAAACCACATCTCAGTTGGAATGTAACATGTTTAGAAAGTGTTGGTTATGACCCGAAGCCGTCGTGTTCTGTGGAAACCACATCTCAGTTGGAATGTAACATGTTTAGAAAGTGTTTTTGTTTACTGTAGGCGGCAACCGTGGCTTAGGTGTTGCGATTCCGACTCGTAATTCCAAGATACCGCAATTGAAACCAACTGCTGGCTGTGTGGATTTTTATCATGGTATGGGGCTTTGCGGGTCAACCCAGCCTAAAATTGGTATCAGGATGTATGTCCTCGGGAAGTAAAGACGACCGACGTAATGCTGACCACATTACCCACCTAGTTCCAGTTGGTCTGTAAAAATATGGGTGCTCTCCCCGTATGCCCGATGCGCCGAAAGGCATGAAAAGGGATTTTTACTTTTTACTTTATTGTTGAATATAACGCCTGTTGCTGGTTTGGTGTTAGGACGAGGTTTTGTTGTCATTGGTGTTTGTTCCACTGAGAGAAGGATTATTAATTTGTTATTGTTTTACCATTTGGTTATGGTATTACGTGTATGAGAGTGTATGTGTGTGAGAGTGTATGTGTGTGAGAGTGTATGTGTATGAGAGTGTACGTGTGTGAGAGTGTATGTGTGTGAGAGAGAGAGAGAGATGTATATAGTGAGCAGGCATTTACTTGACATCACTAGCAGGATGTTTTGAGCTTTGAGGAATGACCACATGAAACCTACCCCCCTGTGGCTTTATGACAAAATGTATGAAAGGTTAATTACAGCTGAGTTGTGGTCGGAGCACTGGGCTGTCATGTGGGACAACCAGGGTCGATCCTCTGTAAGCTATGGATATTTTTTCTGTTGGGGTCAGAAATAACAATCCCAACCTGCACTGTTGGTGGAGATTGCACAGCCATTCGTCCTTAGATCGTGAGGTTGAAGACACCTCTGACCCACTTGGCTCTAAGAGTGGTAGTGATGAATGATAGAACAGCAGGCTTGGAAGAATTTAATAAAGCCATTGTTAGAAAGCAAGCATGCCCTTGTCTTGGGGGTCATTAGATAACTGCTAACACCAAGAATGGAATTCAGTGGACCCCTACAAAACAGCTTGATGATCTGAACTTCGCTGATGATATTGCTCTTCTGTCCCATTCACGGAATCATATGCAAGATAAATTAAATATACTTAATGCGAGATCACAGCAGCTTGGTCTGAAAATCCATAAAGGAAAGACAAAGATAATGAGAATAAATCAGGCAAATAGTAATTTGGAGGAACTGATAGAGATATTAAAGTAAGAATACAAAAGGCAAGAGGGGCTTTCATAGCACTAGGGAATTTGTGGAGGTCAAACGAAATTAAAAGAAATACTGAACTAAAAATTTTTAATTCTATTGTCAAATCAGTAGTATTGTATGGGGCGGAAACATGGAGAACAACCAAGGCAATTACTAATAAATTACAGACATTCATTAACTGGTGCCTGCGCAGAATAGAGGGAATAAAATGGTATGATAGAATAACTAATGTAGAACTTTGGGAGAGAACCAAACAGGCTCCAGTGGATCAGGAGGTGAGGAAAAGATGCTGGCTTTGGATAGGGCACACACTGAGAAAACAGGAGAACAGCATAACTAGAATGACTTTGCATTGGAACCCACAGGGGTATAGGAATAAAGGAAGGCCAAAAAACACATGGAGAAGAGAGCTGGAGAATGAGGTTAGAAAGATTGGGAGGACATGGGGAGAGCTCCATGCAATGGCGAAGGATAGAACGACTTGGCGTGAGTTGGTTGAGGGCCTATGCTCCATTGGGGGATAGAAAGGCAGAAGAAGAAGAAGCAAAGGGTACATCAAGAAATATTGGCTAGTAAAGAGAATCTTGCCTCAGAAAATTATTTTGGCTTTATCAAGCGCCACGGTGGTTTAGAAAGAATAAAGCAGATGACATAGTGTCAGGAAAGGACAGGTCGACCATCACGAAAATGAGCACAAGACCTTGGGTTGGACGGCGCACAAAGATGAAGAGCAAGTTTCTTTCAAGCAGGCTGTGATAGAACAATGTTCTGCAAAGGACCCCCTGCGTGATAGAAAGAGGGTCTGGTCGGTTTCATGTGCAGGGGAAAAGATGCAAACTTTTAATCAAGTTGCAGCCTTCATCATCAACATGTAGCCATTGGCTGCCGTTACAGGGGACGGAGGCCTCAGAGCATTGATGTCGTTATTGGTTCATTTATGTGTATATGTAGCAAAGGTACAGAATGGATGTATGTGGCAACAAGTTAGTTGCATCCCCTGTACAGGACGTTTCAGAACCAACCCCAGCATTTGTTTTGGCTGTTGTGGTTTTTCTAGGCAAATTTACCGTTCTCTAGTTTGCCATTGCTTTCTGAGCAGTTGGCTTTCGGTACCACAGTCGAAACCAATGTAAGATGCTCTGCTGTCAATTTACCTGCAGCTGAGATTGAACCCGGCATTAGAAAGTGAGTTTGAAATGTCTAAGCCAGAGATGCGGACAGCAGTAAAACCTGATGAGTTTGAAAAACGTACTGGAGACCACCTAAGAATACTTAAAAATACCATTTCCCTGTAAAAGCCGATTTCCCGACTCGCTACTGAGACATGTTGCGTGAACGTCCTGTGTGATAGGGGATGACTAAATGTATTCAAAATAGATTTCCTTTTATGAAAGTGGCTTTTTAATAACAATTTCT